AGCTGCTTGAACGCATCATAATACATGATCTCGACCGAGCTTCCCTGATCGATCAAGATCCGTTTAACATCAAATTCCTTGACGCGTAGTGTTACTACTAGGGCATCGTTGTGCGGCGTCTGGATACGCTCTAGATCCCTTGAGGTGAAACTAATCACGTCTTTTTCTTCATTTTCTCCCTTTTGATGGCAGGCTGTACCGACAAAACTTCCCTCATATGTTCTGCCTTTTTTATTATGCCCCGGAGTTCGCAAACACACTCCAGTTCCACAATGCCATGGATGACATTAATAAATCCCAGTGGTGGTGCATCTCGGTCATCCTGTCCCCTGGGATCGACTGGAGCCTGATTCGGCTTCACACCGCCATCAATGTAAAGGTCTAGGTGCCCGGCCGTGACCAGCTCTTCTAAGTGTTGCCTCAAAGGCAAACAATCCTCAGTCCGGTGGCCTCTCTCCCGGTGGAATGTCCAACGATACCGCGGATTGTAGCCCTTCTATCCATCGCCCAACTTAGCAGGAAATCGGACATACTCCTCGTCTCGGATTTCACTAAGTATGCGATAGATTGGGATCTTGAAGACCGTGGTTATGCCAGTCCTTGCCTTCAACCTTCTGTTTGTGTCCGCTACGTCATCTCGGGGGTAGTCATCCCGGTCAGTCCGACGTCCTTTATCCCGATTTTTGCAATTCGAGCCACGGTCCGATTCTTCTGCTCGGTCACTTGAGCGGCCGGACTCTTGCCCAACTGCGTGCACTTTGCCTACTGTCTTCTTGTCTGTTGCTACCGGAGTTGCCTTCACGGTAGAAGCTGACGCGTCATCCTCTACTCGGATGTGCTCATTGATGCGCTGCATGAGCTGGCCCATGGAGGTCGGTTGGTGCATGGTCAACGAGTCCCGCAATCTATGGCCGACCGGGAGACCACGCTTATATTGCGTGATTGCGAGGTTGACCGGGCAATCCAAGATCTCGTTGAAGGTTTCCCAGTACCTTGAGTTGTATGCCTTCAGTGTGTTGGTTCCATCTTGACACTTAGCAATGATCGACTTCCTTTGGTGTTTTGTGTGGTTGGTTTTGAAAGCGTGTAAACAAACGCCTCGGCCAACTGTGCCCAACCTTGTAAATGCTCCCTTCCGGTCGCCTAAACTTGACGGGAAGATTAGGCACATAAGTCCGTCATTTCGCCTATGTCCGGCCATAACCTGTCGGAAGTGGCTCACATGCAGGTAAGGATCGGTTTTCCTGTCGTAAAGCGCGAACTTTGGCTGGTGGAAGTTTGCCGGAAGCGGTGTAGTTTCTATTTCCAGGGCGAAAGGGGTGGCGCTCAACCTGGCCAAATCTGAATCCACTAGGAGTGGCGCTGCTTGGCGGGGTGGAGGCATTCCGACCTCCTCGCTGGCGTGAACCCCGTAGGATAGCCGCTGGAACGCCGGTATCCTCTGAGCTTCGCGCCGACGAACCCGCTCCTTTAAGACCGCCCGCAAATCCTCTGAATGAGCGGAGTAAGAGTACCTCGAAGTCGTCACCGGACGTGAGGGCCGGTAGGTGCTGTCTTGCGCGCTAGACTTCTCTGCATGCACGTCGGAATCACCAACCTGGTAACTTCTGGTAATAGAAATGGATGGAATGCGTCGCTGACTCTGACCGCCTGAACGGCGGGATGGGGTGCGCTCACTGTGGTCACCCACTCTAGCTTCACCTTTCCCTTTGACATGCCGCTTCAGATCCTCCATCTCCGCCGCCATTCGCCGGATGACAGCGTCTTGGTCCCTCAACTTATTTTCCAGACGTCTGGCGTGTGAGTCTCTCCTCCGCTGGTGACCGTCTGGACTCCGTGAATGACCATGACTTCTTCTGCGCTTATCCCGCGCGTCTCCTGACTGTCCTCCAGTAGGCGTCCCCAAGTCCGCCATTGGATGGATGGCGGAAGGACCTTCTCTCCTTCGGGTGAACTCCGAGGTGGCTCCGTCTATGGCAGACAACGGAAACTCGTCATTGTTCGCCATGGACGGCGATCAGATGAACCTGGAAGACAAAGTTTTGTCTATCAAGTTCCCACAGACGGCGCCAATTGTACGGGGAGCAAATATTCCTACAAGCCCGTATTCCTTTCTTCCAAGCTCCGTTTATGTCCGATCACCTGCTAGCAAATAGCAGTGAGCTGCCCGGCGGTGTGTGACCGGAAATACCCTCCGACGATCAAGTTAGCACACACCTTAGGATAGAGAGAGAGAGAGAGAGAGAGGAGTGTTAGAGTGTAGGAATTCCTTACAGAATGTTCGTGTGTCCGCGTATGGGGGGCGCAGACATGCTTATATACCCTCTGCGCCCCATATCCACTCCCAGTCATCTCCTGACACGTGGCTCCGCTATCCCATCTATCAGCATAAACCTTGCTGAACATCACCTAATCTCAACTGCCAGCCTTCTCAGCTGGAGCTCGGCAGCCGAGCTTCTCTATCCACGGTCGTGCTGTGCTTCATACCCAAGCACTTCACTGGCTAAGCCCAAGGAGGACCGGGCTAGGCGGCATCTCGGCAAAGCCGAGCCCGGGGCACCTCCTGTGGTCGGCCTTCCTGCCGATCAAACGATTAACTCGGCTGACCATGCCTTTCCGGGCGCCGGTCACTCAGCTTGACTGGATCCACCATCGCCTGATCAAGCAGCTTGGTCCAACCGAGCACTGCCCTGCCGAACAGCTTCTTTACAGTCTGGGGCGGCACATACTTGGCCCAACTCTTGCCCGGCCCAAGTCCTGGCAGCCCATCTCCGGGCGGATAGCCGGTCATCTCGGCCCCATGCACCATTAGGCTCTCAACCTGCTCGGCCGTTACCTCGGCCCAATGCCAGATCATAAATCTCCCTCTCAAATTTAAATAAAAAATAATTCTTAATCAAAACACAACTATATATATATATATATATATATGGTACAATCTCTGTTAATAAAAAATACCACGCACACATGTTACAGTCGTAATCAACAAGTATTTAACAATTTTCTCATTACAGGGTGCTGAATTAAATATCTAAGAATAAACATAGGAGATATTAAAGTTACTTTTGATATCACAATTCCTTGAACTAAACAAATCCGATAATTACCTACTCAAACCTATTACTTTAAAACCACTTGTGGTAGTGGCCATGTGCGTACTTTCCAAAGTTAAATTTATTAATAACCCACATTGATGCGCTTAATTATTTTGTTCAATCTCACCATCTCAGTGTTAAAAGAAATAAATATCCAAGTGTGCCGTGTCACCAACTCAAAAGATTCTTACTTTACTTGATTGAGTCAATGTCAACCAATTAATTTGTATAAATCTAACTCTAGAAACCTAATTTTTTAATGAAAAATGAATTCTATGCCCACCGTTGATAAGTTTAGCTTTGATTTTTTTACTCGTCAGAATCAATTCTAAAAAAAAAAAAAAGTATCATTTCCATCACTCTGCATTGTGATTTGAACTCACAACATTCACTATATAAGTTAGAGGAATTTGGGAGACGGTTGTGCTTCATGCATACTGTTGTGCAATCAATGGAGTTCACTTCGCACTCCATTTTGATAATTTAAATTATTTATTTTTTTAATTATATTGAGTAAAATATATTTGTAAAAAATTAAGTTGATCTGGTATTGATAACCCTTCTATCTAATCACATTTATATTTCAATAATGTGATTTTGTATATAAAATTGAATATAAATGTACTTAGATGAAAGTGTTATTACTATCCAATCAATTTAATTTTTTACAAATATGTCTACTCAATATACTCTAAATAGTAAAATATTTGAATTATCAAAATAAGACCGGAAATTAACACAAATAATTACACAACAGTAAATATTGTGCTTTATGCACAATAACCACCCATCTTCTGAGCCAGAGAGCCTATCATTATAACACAAAATGAAAATTTCAACTTGGATTGAACACAGAGTAATTGTGAATTGACCACATTGTCCAATGTCTTGCATTTTTTTTATTTGAAAATTGATGCTGTTTCCGAATTCACACCAATAATAGCAAGTAGCTACTGCTTTACTTAAGTGCTTCTCTCGATGGCCTATCGGGCCAACAACATGGGTTTCAATTCGACGATCTACTCTTAAAAATATATATATATATATATATATATATATTTTTCAAAACTATAATGGTCGCACATTATTTGAAGACAAAGATAATAAAATAAAATCTTGTAATTAAGATTATTGAATTAATTTAATTTAATTCATTTCGTTCATGTTTTAAGTACTTATGTGTATATCATTCATATAAATTAAAGGTTTAAGTGAGCTAGACTAGACCATCTAGTCCTCTAATATGGATTAGAGAGAGACCAATCCCTTTACTTAGATTGTTGTTGATTTTTATGCAAATCAACATATTTAAGCAATAGACACTACTAATTGTTGTTAACAATCACATAACCCTATTTCTCTTATCCTCGTCGTGGATAGGGCTGCAAATTAGTTGAATTTGGGATGTTAGAGCTCAAATCATTGAAAATTAATTGAGTTTGAACTCAAGTTGAGTTCAAGAATTCTATTCAATAAGTACTTGAAAAATTTGAGATCGGCTCGAGTTATTTCAATTAATAAACAAGCCAAAATGATGGCGTATTGCGACATCCAGCTGATGGTGAGGTATGGAAGGACTTTGATAGGCTGCATCCTACGTTCTCTACGGATCCTCAGAATGTACGGCTAGGGCTTGCCACGGATGGTTTCAATCCATTCGGACATATGAGTACATCGTACAGCATGTGGCCCGTAATCTTAATGCCTTACAATCTACCCCCATGGAAGTGTATGAAAGATCCATTTGTCATGATGTCATTGCTTATTCCCGGACGATCCGCACCTGGAAGGGACATCGATGTTTACTTGCAACCATTAGTAGAAAAGTTAACTAATCTGTGGGAGCATGGTGTGCAAACATATGATGCCTCAAACGGCCAAATATTTACAATGCATGCAGCAGTCATGTGGACCATCAACGATTTCCCTGCATATGGTTCCTTGTCTGGTTGGAGTACAAAAGGTTACCTGGCCTGCCCTAATTGTAACATCGATGCATCATCTCAGAGTTTGCGAAGTAAGATTGGGTATATGGGTGCTCGGCGGTACTTACCTGAGAACCATAATTGGCATAGAAGTAAGCTATTCAACGGTGAAATTGAGAATCGATCCAAACCTGTGGAGTTATCAGGAGAACAAATACTGCAGCAAATTAATTTGGGGACGTACAGGCCATATGGAAAGCATCTAACCAACCAAAAAAGACAACGGACTGAAAATTTAACTCCGAACTGGACAAAAAGAAGCATTTTGTTCGACCCACCCTATTGGAAAACACTTAAGCTTCGACATAACCTTGATATCATGCACATAGAGAAGAATATATGTGACAATCTACTTGGGACACTATTGAGCATTGATGGCAAGAACAAGGACACCGATAAAGCACGTTTGGATCTGGAGGACATGCAAATACGAAAGGAGTTACACTTGATAAGGCATGCAAATGGCTCTTTCCAGAAGCCTCCGGCATTGTACACATTGTCCCCGGCAGAACAAATAGGGTTTTATGATTTCTTGCAATCAGTTAAGTATCCTGATGGCTATGCGGCAAATGTATCCAATTGTGTCACGGCGAAAGGTGGTAAGTTAGTTGGCCTCAAGAGTCATGACTGTCATGTCCTTTTATAACGACTTCTTCCCATTGGGATGCGAGGATACCTTCCTACCGAGATTGGGACCACAATGTTTGAGTTTGGAACTTTTTTCAAACAGTTGTGCTCAAAGACATTGAGGGTGACTGATTTGGAGAAATTGCAAGAACAAATCATACTTATACTTTGTAAGCTTGAAAAGATTTTTCCTCCTGCTTTTTTCGATGTCATGGTCCACTTGGCAATTCATTTGCCTTACGAGGCTAGGCTTGGAGGGCCTGTTCAATATCGATGGATGTATCCTATTGAGAGGTATAACGAGTCAGAACTTTTTTTTTTGTAATTATAGTTCAATATGAACATACTGACGATCACGGCGATGTTTACATGTAGGATGCTCAGTCTGCTTAAAGGATTTGTGGGCAATAAAGCTCGTCCAGAAGGATCCATTGCGGAGGCCTACATATCGAAAGAGTGTACGAGTGTACGATGTTTTGTTCAATATATTTGCATGGAGTTGAAACGGTGTTTAACCGGGAAGAAAGGAACTACGATAGGGGTGACAATGGCCCGGGGTTGGCGATTTTCACTCAAAATCTTCGTCCTTTTAGTCAACTCCCAAGGGCAATTGATGTGTCCGTAGCTGACCGCGAATTGGCTCATTGGTTTGTACTACACAATAGTTTGGAAGTGGACGAATATCTAGAGTATGCTTCTTCATCATCTATGCAACATACCTTTTCTACATGGTTTTTATTTTTTAATGTCTTCATTATTCCAATTACTTATGACTTACATCATATTAACTAGGGAACACAAGCTCGTGTTGCAACAAAAATATGGAAGTTCATGCAACATTACAACGCGACAATGCAAAGAATTCCCTAAATGGTTCAAACATCGCGTAAGATTATGTAACGTGTTACTGTTAAGTGTGGAGATAACGTTGAATTATTCTAAGTTTGAATTGACATGACATACTTTCTTGTGTAGATGAACCAATTGCAAAATGAAAACTCACCTAAAGCAACCGATGAGATGTGGTCATTAGCTAATGGACCTAATGCCTTAACGAATACATGTTTGGGATGCATTTGTAATGGCGTCCAATTCCATACTATCGACCGTGATAACCGTCGTAAATGTCAAAATAGTGGGTTGGTAGTGAAAGGCGACCACGAAGACCAGTTGATAAAGTTCTACGGCTACCTTTGTAAAGTGTGGGAACTAACATATTTGTTTGGACATCGGGTTGTTTTGTTCCAATGTGAATGGTATAACACCGGTAGTAGTCGAACTTTGCGCGTCGAACCACATGTGACAACTGTTGACATAAGAAGTCGATGGTATAAAGATGACTCGTTTGTATTCCCAAGCCAAGTTCAACACGTTTTCAATGTTCCTGATACGAAGTTAAGGCCGAATTGGCGAGTCGTAGAAAAGTTTCAACATCGACGAATTTGGGATGTGCCAGAGCTGGATATGCCAGAATTTGATGAAGTGTTGCAAGATGATGAAAATAGTACTATTGTACCAACTGAGCCTATTGATGATGTTGTTGTTTTACGTCGGGATGACATTGTACCACAAATTATTTCAATGGAAGTTTCTCAGTCCAATAAGCGTGTACAACCGGAGGGTGTTATGGATGATGCGTTCATCTGCGATGACGACGATGAACTAACAATCTCGGGTGATGACGAAGAAGATGAGATGGAAAATGATTTTGATACAGATACGGATCTAGAGTTTTAACTCAGTTTGTTTCTTTGTTCGGGTTGTTTTGTTGATGTCACAGGGGCAATTAAGAATATTGATGAAATTGTAATTTGAATTTCATGCCTACTCTTGAATTTCATGTAATTTGAACCTTGTACTTTTAATTTCCTCTACGATTTCTATGAACTGTTAGAGCAAATTGAAAATCAAATTCATACTTAGTTTAGATTTTCCATTCGGACAGCTGTGCTATGTGGCTGCTTTTCCTACAATCTGTGCAGATTTGCACAGCTGCTCTGTCTCTATTTGCTGAGTTTGATAGTTCGCTGCTGTGTGTTGTGTGCTGCTCTGTCTCTGTAACGTGTTGTGTGCTGCTATTTGGTTGTTACATTTTGCTTTCAAAATACTACTTTGCAATTACTTTATGTTGTTAGATTTTGCTTGGTGTCAATTCTTTTAAGCTAACATTCTTTTAAGCTAAGTAGACTGCGTGGCTATGGGATCAAAATGGAATTTCACCCGGAATAGTTCTCAAGGGGCCACTTTGATTCTTTTTACTATGTGTTAGCACAAAATTTTGAGCATGTTATATTTTTTCCTGAAGTGCACATAATTTGTGAAGCAAATCAACCATCTAGTTGCTATTACTTTTGAGGTCATTTAGATATACAGTTGTTCTGTCCTAAGTTCCTAACCTAAATTAGTATTATTAGTCGGCACTGCAATGGACTTCTGTTTTCTTGATGGGAGATTTGCAAAGAACATTTACAAACAGTGTGTTTTAATTAATAGAGCAGCAGTTCAATTCCTTACTGGCATGCGGTTGTAGGAAATCCTTAAAATAAGATGCAATACTGTGTGGACACATCAATCTTCACGTACGTGTTATGTATAAGACAAGATTGCAGATATATGTGCTACTTTCTTTCCTTATAACTTTATTTGGCCATTCATTATCTGAGGCTGATCTTTTCTTTTCTTAATGCCTTTAGTTTACTATAATTTTGCTGATATTATATACATATATATATATATATATTGGTGTCAATTAACTTCGGGTCTTCACTTATGTACCCCTGCACTAGGGTGGAAACATTTAAAATGATGGCCTTCATTTCAAGCCTAGTAGATATGATATCATTTTCAGGCCTAGCTAATGCTTGAAATTCAAGTCAGAGAAGCTCCCTTTGTCTTACTTTCCTGTTCTGTGACTGTCAGTTTGGTGGCTCCTGGAAAATAGTTCATAACCACCCTGTCTATCAATGATATTCAGTCAATCAACAAGATGAAGTTATATGGACAGTTTCTCTCTATTTTTTTTTTCTAAAAGTAGTTCTAGAGCAGAAGATAATAAAATGCACCCTCATTTGTCTATTGTTTTCATGTACATTGCCTCTATGAAGTCCCTGCCTTAATTCCTAGCAATACTATCTAGGGTTGGTTTGGAGTACAATTGCAATCAAACTGCAAAATACTACGACATTAGAACCCTAGTAAAGTTAGAACCCTGATTCTATAATATAATATCAATATCAACTTGATTCTATTAAAGTTATGCTTCTTCTTATTTTTAATTAAGTTGCTGCACTGATCCCTAGAGTTCTATAAGTTGATATTAGGAGTCAACCTTGCACATATCAACTGTTTTTTCTTTTGTTTGCTACTGGTCTAATATGTTGGCCTATATGGATTCATCTATGAGCTCAGATGGCAGCCAAAGCAGCTTCCACTCTGTCTTGGTTTGTTTGTTGACCCTTTCACTTAGGATTAGTATAGACAAAAAACTAACATAAAATTATAGGCCACAACAATTTGGCAACAACCATGTCTTTCTAGATAGTACTATTGATTACAAGACATGAGCAATTATCAATTCAATCTCAACCACAGTTGAATATATATATTTAAAGGAAAGGAAGAGTTACAGTATTTCACAATACCCTCAACATAACATATATATTATGGTATATAATCTTCATGGTTTATCAAAAAAATATCACTGGTCTCGTCCTATCAAATATATATATACATACATATAATATATTTATAAGGTTTACTGGTATATAATCTTATCCCCATTGATGACCAACTATAATGGTTTTACAGTTTCAGAATGTAGAAGAATTATGTAGATGGCAAATTGAAGATTAATGAAACCCAATTGTAAATCCTTTGGAACTAAACATGGTACCATTATCTAGGTACATGAATGTTTACCACCAACAGGGTAAGATGGTGACCAATACTCATCCTATGATTTTTTTTTTTAAATAAGTATTTTCGAGAAATTCCAAAGCCGTAAAAGCATCAATTGTTCCCAAAACAAAAAAGATATGAAGTTGTGTGTGTGTGTGTGTGTATGGTACCCTTGGCTTAGGCCTTACTCACCCCATAAATTAGCCCCTAAATTTGAGCCTTGTGTTTTTCTCAATTACCTCCCCTCTGTCAAAGGCTATAGATGCCTCAACCTTCTTATTGTCTTATTTAGGCATGTTAGGTTTCAAGAGTCTACTTTTCCCTTTTCTTCTATTACTTCTCTCCCCATCCCTCATCTGTCCTCTCTATAGTCCTTCTTTTGGTCTCCCTCCCCTACCTTGATATCCTCTTCCTATCAGCTTACTTCTTCACCTACCACTACTGTTTTGCCTCCACAGCATTTGTCCACATCAGTTCAGCCTTGTCCTGCATCTCAGCCACCTCACCACTGGTCCTCACAGGCTTACTTCTCAGCCTACTTATGTGCTTCCCTCAGACTACCCTACCGCTTATCCTCTCACACAGGTTAATCTACAGTATTCGTATGTCCCTCAGTCTCATTTTTCTTCTCCAACACATGCTTCTACGTCACCTCTTGCCTCCTTTCCTATTCCCATTGATTCTCTTGCTATGGTTTTACAAATCTATGCATAAATGTACATAAATAATGTACATCTGTTTACTGCTTTGAAAACTTTATTAGTTAATGTACTTGGTATCAAAATATGTAGTTTAACTGTTTAATTCAGTGATGCGGGCAGCTTTTAATTCAAAACTTTATTGTTTAATTCAATAATGTACATCTGTTTAATTCAGTTTAACTGTTTAATTACAAATTCATATTATGTAGAGTTCTGAATTTCTCTTTTTTTAACCTTTCTATTGTTTATTTTCTGTAAGTTTCAAGGAACAAAGGATAAAAGAAATACAATAGCTGTGGATTATGCTCATAAAAGCTTCTTTCATTCCTTTCTTATGAGATGGCTGCTTCAGTGACTTTTGATATGTTTTAATGTGAGTAATAATTCTATTGTCTTTAATGTTCTACAGAGAGTGGGTAATGAATAAAGATATTTGTTTTGCACTAATGTGTATTATGGTTAGGCTGTCAGACTAATACATTTTATTTTATTTTTTTGTAAAGAGAATGGAAGGAAATTGAGGCATTTTCACATCTACTAACATTCTTATCCACATGTAATTGCCACATAGGATTGGGGCTTCTTTGTGCCATACTTGATTGGGAGCATTTCTGTAGTAGTTTTGGCTGTGGGAAGCATTTCACCTGGGTAAGTTGTTAGGCATTAACTACGTTATTTCCTTACTATAGGTTGTCTTCAATATGTCAACAAACCTTTCAATTTTGAATTACCATGACGTTTAAATCAGAATATTGTATAATTGTTAGCTCAGTTGGGCACTTTTAAATTGTATAATGAATTATTGAAGAAGAGCACAGTTGAGGGCTGATAGAGAATTTCGAGATCCTTGTTCTAAAGATGGAAAGGGTAATGTTCATTATTGGCTATATTACAGTTAGTTCATTAATGCTTCTCTCCACATTACCTTTCCCTCCACAAATCCCTTCCCAAATCCAAAATCCAAACACATCCTTAGGCTAATGAAGGGCATACCTTTGACCTTCTTGTTTATCCAGATTTCTGCCAGCATCCCTGCACTAACTCCAGCAACAATCCATGCCTTGTAAAAGGCAATTGCAGAGGGTAATGATCTCCGAGGAAGAAAATAACAATCTGGGATTTGCCTAACCTTTCTTGGAAGCCGTTTCTTAGTAACAGGCCCTGCACTAGGCTCATTATGGATGGAATCACCAATACTGTTCCAGTCCATTCCTTTCAATTGATCTGTTAGTTCTTCAGATCCCATAGGAGAATACTAGCTTCTACATGGCTGAATTACACATAGCAGCAAAAGTTTCTGACTAGTCATCAGAATTCATAGTACTAGGGCCCTGAATAAATTCCTAAGGTAAAAATTATGGATACTAATGAAAAGAGTAATGCCATACAAACAAACTGATGTTGTCCTTGAGTTGTTCTTATCAATGGTTTGTTATTGCAGGCTACAACAATTTATTACAAATTTTGTTGTTAATAATAATTCCAAAATTTGTTGGGGTAATGAGTATATTAAATGAACAATGGACAATTGAGAAGTTTGTTTTTGTATCATCATCATCATGTTCTCTTAGTTTATTAGTTACCATTGATTAACGAGCAATTTATAATTGAGTAAACATTGTTGTGTCATTATTGCAGCAGTTACACTACTAATGTATGCGATGTTTATTACTCATGTACGTTTGTTACGTAATGTAGATTCCGGGAATCAAGACGGGGCGACGTAAGAGAGCAACAAGTGGCAACGTACTATCAACATCTAAAGCATGTACACAGGAGATTGGCACCCCGATGACGTTCTCTGATGAGACGCAACCACCAGATGATACACAAACTGTGGTGGAGGAGACGCAACCAGGTGGAGTGGGTAAGAGCATACTATTTAGTTGTTTAAAAAAAATTTGGTTTTATTTTGTTTGTAATGTTGACTACCTTCCCCTTTTTGTACCAGGAAAAACGAGGTCAACTCGTGTTCGGGGACGTACATTAGGCAAAGGCGTGCAGAAAAAAATTGCTAGGAAAAAAGGGGAGAAATTACACGTCTATGTCAATCGGGTGTTAAACGCAATCATAGGAGGGAATGCCACCCCAGCGACGAATGAGTTGGGCCTTCAAATTAGGCGGTTGTGCCCTCTTCAG